AAAATCGTCAAAAATCGAAATTTTTTTTTTTTAATTTCTTTTCTCGTTACGTCATAATTTTATAGACCAAAAAAAAATAAGTTCCTGAAAGTTTCAATTCAAAATTTAAATTTTGAAAGGTCGCTCATAATTTTCTTTTAATTTCAGAGTCAAAAAAAGCTAATCCAATTAAATAGTCACTTTCTGAAACTTTCAGGAAAATCTTTTTTTTTTGGTCTATAAAATTATGACGTAACGAGAAAAGAAATTAAAAAAAAAAAAATTTCGATTTTTGACGATTTTAAAAATTTGGAGCGACCTCTTAAAAATTTTTTTTTGAGCTATTCTTTGGAGAGGGCTCTTAAAACATCAAAAACTGACATTTTTTCATTCGAGACTCAAAAAAAAATGGTCGGTTTTTTTGCGCCACCCTAATAGACAATAAATCACGTACGAAAAAATTGAAATGAACTTGAGTAATTAAAAAAATAAAAAAATCACCGTTAAGTAAATGAAACTCGTGCATTCTCATGATCTCTCTCTACTTGTACAATCGCTGAATTAATTAAAAAATGAGAATGTTTAATCATAACGTGGATCGGTTGTAATTAATGATCGCAGGTGGGCCAGCGGCGGCCGCATCAGGTGGTTATGGGCCTACAGCCGGTACAGGTGGAGCTGCGGGTGGTGGTCCCGGGGGTTCATGGAACTCTTGGAACATGCCCCAAAATGGGCCGCCTCCAGGTACCCAGCCACCACCCCAGCCCCCTCAGCCCAACTCCTCGCAGCCTAACTCCAACTCAAATCCCTCTGGCCCGCAGGGTGAGTCTTACAAAAGCTCAAATATTTACAATTTGTTTTCATAACAACAACAATCAGCAACTATACTATTGTCTATATATAATATTATTATTTCACTTTTTTTTTTTTTCTACATTATAAATATTTTTTCAATTCATTTTATCATTGTGAGGGACTTTATAATTATTGTATTAAAAGCCATGTCTCTGATTCTAAAAATTTTAAACATTCATTGTTTTAAAATAAAAAATAAATTTGAAAATTTTTTTTTTTTTTTTCTGAGTAGCGACGTTGGTCTATTTTATTTTTTTTTTTTATTTTTGAGGCATGACCTTTTGCCGGGTAGCGATCGTTTGAATCAGTAAAATGATTTTAGATTTTTTTATTTTTTCTTAAAATCGATTTTCTAAAACTTTTTTTAAACTCGATATTTTTGTAGACAAATATTTACTAGGTAATTAAAAAAAAAAAAACTATTTTTTGACCCGTAATTAAAATAGTCGGTAGTTTTAATAGCGGTGATGGTTTTTTGAGCCTAAAAAAATTATTCACCTTTTTATAACAATTTACACGAAACTGCCTTGATAAAAAATTAACAAGAGGAATCATGCTTGCCATCCACAGTATTTTCTTTCTAAAGAATAAATCATTTATTTGTTTTGGCATTAATTGAAAATTGAATTTTTTACTACCATTTAATCCATTTTTAGAATTTTATTGCATTTTGTCAGATGAAAAATATTTTTTTAAATATAAAAAAAAAAGAATTTTTTTTTTTTTCTAATTTTTATAGCAATTAATCTGGACAATTTGCAACTACTGCAACTAGCAATTTATAATTTTCTCTCTCACAATCATCGTAAAAAAAAAACTTACAACAAAATAATAAATACATTTATCAAAAATAATAATGAATTAAAACATCTAGATTAGAATGTGACGATCCTTCCTAATCGAAAAAAATCCTTTGTCCTCGCTTGCTATGCCTGACTTTTTTTTTGTTTTTTAACCAAGTAGCAAATAATTCAAAAATAGTAGTTTGAGAAATAAAAAACAAAAAAAAATCAATTTTATAAATTAACAATTAAATAGAGAAGATGATGATGATAATAAAAAAAAAAAATAATAATAATAATAAATAACAGTAATAATTAAAAATAATAAAAATAAAAAACTAAATAAGGAGTAATAATAGGAAAAAAAAATGAACTGTGCGATAAGAAAAATGATGCGGGTATTTCAGGTGATATGTACTCGAGACAAACATCTGGGTCAGGCGCACCAGGATCAAGCAGCAGTTCATCCAAGAATCCAGATTATAGCGGTTATAGCGGGTATACTGGTAGTTTCGCCGACACGAGTTATCCTCAGCGTTCTTATCAGGGTGGCGAGAGCAACCAAGGTGGGTATGCCGCCAGTGCTCCTAAACCCGGTCAACAAGGCTTTGATTACAAAGAGTGGCCCGCCTCATGACCATTTTAATTTATTCATTTAAATAGTATCTTTAAATCAACATCTGACAGTTAATACATCAACAATAATAACATCAACAACATCACCAACAACAGCAACTGTTGAATAAATTTAAAGATTTTAAACAACAACAACAACAACTACAACAACAATAAAAAATAAAAAATTGATCCGCGTGAGATTAATGCGTAACAACTTGGCTGGTGTCTTGTGGATCATTTCTTTTAAATTTAATTATTATTAAATTTTCAATACACACAGAAAGAACAAGATTACACTGGATATCATCCCAGATTATACTCATTATAATCTGGATTATACTCAGTGATATCTGTGGTGAAAAAAATTCAGATAGTAGCTAAAAAAAATCCAAATTATAATGTGATATCTGGATTATATTCATTATCACCTGGGATTATACTCAGTATAATCTTGTTTTTTTGTGCACCCATTTACATTGAATTGATCCATAATACATTTTTGTTTATTTAATAAAGATAATTATAATTATTATTACATAATAAAATAAGAGGCGACGGGGAAAATTAATGGGACATTTTATACATAAGTACAGTTCTTTTTAAGGCTAACGTGGTAATTAAAACTATCGGAATTAAAAATAATATTTAACTTGATAAAAAAAAAAAAACTAATTAATACAAAAATGATAAATAGTAGCAAGCAAAGCAAGCGAGTGTAAAGGAATGTTTTTTCGTATTTTTAAAATAGTTAGAGTGACAAAAAAAATTAAATAACTGACTAAAAATAATAAATTATTATTATTATTATTATTATTATTATTAAAAGTTATTAAATAGACAATGACTATGGGGGTGTACGATATAATCTATTAATTTTTTAAAACTTTATTTTATTAAAATGAATTTTATTGTAAATGCACAATTCCACCTCCGTTTAACAATAGAATTTATAAATCTAGTTACAGTTTAATAATTATAAATTTATCGGTTTTATAAGAGAGAATAATAAAATAAAGTAAATAAAAATGAGTTAATTTTCGAGGCATCTTTTTAAATCTTTTGTTTATGTTTTTCACTTATTTATATCAATTATTAAAGTAAATAAATTAATTAATTATAGTAAATTAATTATCGATAGATATTTATATTTTTAAAAAGTAAAACAGGGAATAACAATTGTAAGGACGAATTAAATAACTGATTAAATTTAACGCGTAAGTTTTATGCTATATGAATCAACTGGTCTCTATTTATTTATTTTTGTCTATTTAAAATACTAAGGATAGTGTAGAACGTTAAATCATCGTTGTAAATTTTTTTTTAATTAATTTTTTGTCTTGCAAATTTATTAAAAATTATTTTTAAAAGCAGACATTAATATTTTTTTTTTTTTTTTTTTTTTTTTTTTTTTTTTTTTTTTTTAATTATATTTAGTCAGACTGCATTTAAATATTTTAATCTAATTTAAATAATTAATTTTCGTTAAAACTTGAAACCGTGCCAATAAAATAGTTTATTGTTAATAATAATGGTAATTATAAATAAAAAAAAAAAATCGATAATTAAATTAAGAATTAATAATGTAATAAAGTATATAATATTTATTAATAGTAATTCCGTGTCTGCTTTTGAAAATATTTAATCACTTATTTTTTTTATAAAATAATTTATTTATTTACCGATTAACATTATTATTTAATCCATCAGTCTTTCATAGTATTTTATATAGATGTTTTTGTCAATAGATATTTAACTAATAAATAAATAAATAAATAGGTTTTAAAATTATGCAATTGAAGTAATTAATCTTCATGACAGTGAGAATAACATATTATTATTTTTTCTATTAAACAATTAAAAGGTAAATAAAGTAATAAGATAAAAGATAATAATTATAAATTTATTAAAGAAAAAAAATTGTTATTTCATGTTTATCGGGTTATTCCGTAGATTAAAGTGAAAAAATGACTAGCAATAACACGGAGGTAATGATAAATAAAATGTAACATTATTTTTTTTATCCGACGTTTTTTATCTAAGGTAAATGCTGTATTTAAATCGTTTATAAATTTCAAATGAGACTGAGTTTAATCTAAAAGGTAATTTTTCCATAACTAATTGATAAATATCTATAATAAATAAATAAATAAATAAATATTTAACGTAATGATAATAATAAAACTAAATAATAAAAAAAAAAGATGTCTCGAACATTACACTCGTTTTTTATTCATAAACAATCGATAAGGAAAATGAATTAAGGAACGCTGTTTTGTATGTGAATTAAATTTTTAAATATTTGGGGGCACGCATCTGAAAAGTCTACCTGATTAAATATATGGGCTTAATTGTATATTTACTATAGGGTTTACAATAGAACCTACAATTAACTACTTTGGGAATTAATCAAGCTTATTTTATTCTATCGTTTATTGAATAATTATACAATTTATATACCACGATTATGGGAGTCGCGTTTTATTTAATATTTCTTAATCAATAATTATTAAAATAATTTTATAAGGACCTAGCATAGACACTTAAATTTGTTCAGTTAAATTTTATAATAAAATTCGATTATCGCGATCGCAATGTTATTTATTATTATGGATTTTTTTTTAAACAATTTTTTTGAAAAATAAAAACGCGACTTATACAAAAAATTTTTTGAAACACAAAAGGGAGCTCAATCAAATAATCCTTTTGTTATTTGAATATTAATCATCAGCTAAACACGAACCTTTTTCTTACATGGAAAGAACAAGATTACACTGGATATAATCCCGGATTATATTCAGTGTCATCTTGTTCTTTCCGTGTAGGAGAGTTATATTTTTTTTCTTAATTAAAATTTTTTAAAGTTATATATACGCTAAGTAAATAAATAAAACGACGTGACTATTAAAGATTAACTTTACTTCAAATAATAACCCTGCTCTTTAAATAATTTTAATCATATTATTTTAAAGATTTAATTCAATAATTGTTAGTTATTTCTCAGAAAAAAAAAAAAAAAAAAAAAAAAAAAAAAAAAGATGGAAATGACGGACGGATTTTTGAAGTAATTGTTTAATAGTTTTAACAGATTAAGTAAAATTAACGTCTAAATTAAATAAATAAAATACAAGTTAATTATTATTAATTAAAATTAAAATGTAATAGTTTAATACAATTGACAGTAAATATTTAATTATTAACTTATGTCTGGGATAAATTGTACAGTAATTTAATTAACAATGAGTGAACAAAAAAATGTAATAAAATAAATGAGAGAGTTATTTAACGTTGCCAATATAAATATATATTTTTTCAATTTTGTAAATAAATTTTTTGCTTAAAACGATTTTTAAATAATATTAACATTATTATTAGAAATGTTTTGCCTAATTGTAAATTTATTAATGTAATAATTAATAATATTCTCCATAACATTTTATTTATAAAAAAAAAAAAAAAACATAATGTACTTTAGATAATAATTTTTTGGACAAACTTATTTTTAATTTTTTAACATAGGTAGTCCGTTAAATGCTCTCAGGGTTAATCATTAAATAATAATAATAATAATGATAATTATTGTAATTTTCTTATCAGGTCTCCGTTAATATAAATATTAATACGGTTATAAGCTCAATCAATTAATAAGATACGTCGTTTTATCACTATTTAATTATAACTGTATTATTAAATATTCATATACATTTATATATTTTTTATTGTCTTTGTATTGATAATAAATACATTTGAATATGTCAGGTATTTTTTTTTTTATTTTTTTTTTACAATTAATTTCAAATGTCAAAAAACAATTTTTATAAATTTTTTTGCAGCTTAATGCTATTAGCTAGTTAATTAATAAATTGGATTTCAACTCCCTCTTGCCTTAGAAAAATTTAGAACCGATTTGCAATTCTAAATTCGTCGGTGAATTTTCGCCAAGTGGCGTGGAGTTCAAGTCACGGGATAACCGATATGAGTGACAGGGTTCGAATCCTGGCGAGGTTAAAATAAAATTTTTTTTTATTTGAATTTTTTTAAGCGCACATTTTAATCTAGATAAATTAAACGAATAAAATTAAATTGAAAGTCACGCCAAATATGCCTACTAAATAAATCACAGTAATTTTAATGAAAATTAATTTAGCGGATATTTTATAATTTTTTTAATAAATAAATTGAGAAAAAAAAATTGACAATTCAAATTTTTTGAAGTAAATTTATTTATTAAAAAAAAATTATAAAATAGTCAAGTGACTGCTAACTTTAATTTCATTAATTTTATTGAGTTTTTAGTGCAAAAAAAAAATAAATAAAGAAAATGCGATCGCGAATAAATTGTTAATGAATAAACTGTGATTATATCGTGGGTCGATCGCTGTGGAATTATTAGTGAGAAATAAATTTAAAAGGATCGGTAATTATTAAATAAAATAAAAAAGGATAATAATAAAAGTATAGAACAAATTAACTAACTCGTAATAATTAAAAATGACCTTAAATACTTGTTAACAATTTAGATTTGTATTGGTAAGATCGTGCCCCTTGTTATGAGCTTTACAAACCTAGTATATATTTATAATTAATAAAAATAAAATCAACTTTAAAATAAATCGGTTATATTAAGACTACAGACTTAGATAAATGATGATGATGATGATTATGATTATGATTACGATAATAATAACGATAATGGTGATTAAATCAATTTAATTATTAATTAATGTTAATGTTTAACATCTCACCTTTACGCTCGCTTTCCCATTAATTTTCTTATTATTATTTCCAATAAATATATTTATATTAAAATATGCAATAGGAAAATAATTTTATTTTAAATCGTCTTCAATAATTGTAAATTAAATAATTAAAAAAAAAAATTATATATATGGTATTTTTATCTTGAATTTTATTTTTATATTTTATAAATTTAAACCCGATTTAATTTTAATTGTAAATTATTTTCCTATTACGCCGCATTTATATCCAAGTTGACGCGCATTGTCTCGTAAAAAAAATTGTATGGACGTGGACTGAATATTTTATTATTTTTTTTAAATCGCTAATTAAGAAATTTTCATTCGTGAATGATATAAGTATAGTTAATGATTAATATTTAATAAATAACTATTTAGAAGATATATAAATTAATGGAATAAAAAAAAAAACTTTTGGGACAAGGGTATTAATCATGTTTAAAAAAAAAACTATTTTAACCAAAATTAAACGTTTGGAAAAATTTTTGCATTTAAAATTAAAATAAATAACTATATCATTCACTAAAAGGATTTAATTGATAAAATAAAATATACAGCAACAATTTTGAAAATTATTAATTATATACATAGATATATTTATGTATATACTATACAATAATCTTAACAACGCATGTATGTAACAAAATTGTTTTTTAGATTTACAATTATTATTGATAATAATGATATATTAATTATATACACAAATAAGACCTTAAAAGTGTCGTTTATTATCTACCGTCACTTAAATTACCACAACGACTTATGATATTTATAATTAACGTCGAGGTACAGTGACTAAATAACTTTTTCAATATTTATTATTACACTTCAATGCTATTATTTTTATTATTTCATCTTATATTCCTATTAATTAAAAACCAGCGTATTAATATTTTTAAACGCGGTTTTGAGTATAATAAATCATTATTACATAAATAATTATTATAAAGTAATTTAATGTTATCGTCATATTTACCCTAAAGTGCCCTTTCAATTGCTTTTAATTTAATTGTAGAGGTAAATTTTATAAAAATAATAACAGTACATGTTTAAATATAAATAAACTTTCCGTTTTTATATTCTTTATTTACTCTTTATAAATTAAGTAAACAAATGCTTGTAATTTGATGTTAGGTGAGAACGAATATCAATTTTTTTATTAATTAAATTTACTAAATTACAGCTAATAAAATTGATTTTTTTCATTAAAATAAAAAAAAAAGAGGTCTTGAATTTTTTTGATGGTGTCGGGAATCGAACCCTGTTTTAACCGCTTAAGAGTTTTATGACATTTTTCTAACGCTATCGCTAAATTTTGAAGTGCGATAAAATGCAGTTTTAATAAAAATTTTTTCAATTTTTGATTAAAACAATTAATTCTAAGAAATTTTGAATTAGTTTTCTGAAAAAAAAAAAAAAAAATGTTTTTTATAATTTGCCGTGACTTATTAACTATAAGAAATTAAAATTTTGCTTTATTAAATAATGACTTTTATTAAATTGCACTGTTCTTTCTTGTATATTGACGTTTTTAAAGATATAAGCTCATCCCGATGTTACACTCATCGAGACCTTTCATTTGAGTACCCACATCAATTTTTCATATATTATATATGTATGTATATATGAAAAATATACTGTAGATATTTGTAATAACTGTTATCAGTATCATCGCGTAAATTACTCGTTTCTATTTTATTTAAATACTTTGAATTTTTTTTTTCATTATTATTATTTAAAAAAGAATGATTGATTAACTGGGGAGTTGTAATAAAAAAAAAGATATTTATGGGACGTCAGGTACGAGCAGACGATGTGGTTCGTAGTACAGATACTACCGAAGAAATTCAAGTCGAGACATCCGACATCTCAAATAAATTTAAATTTTTTGAGACATATAAAGAACCGGAGAAAGAAAGAAAGCAGTTCAGAATAACGCCACCACGTGATGGACAAGTTAAGGTTTGTGTGCGTATGTGTGATGGGATAATTAAGATTTTGTTTTAATGGTGACTACGCAATTAAATAATACTGCATATACATTCAAATAATTACTATTATTGCTGTGTGTTACGCGTTTGCCGGTTTCATCTAACAGCACAATTAACCCTATCAAGATTATTATTATTTCCCATAATTACAATCTTCTTTATGATATTATTATTACATAATGACTTTGTGTGATTGAGTCTATTTGCAAGTTAATATTTTATTTTTTTTTTTATTAATATTATTTGTTATAATTATGGCCAGGATTTTTTATTTAATAATAACAATAATAATTAAATTTTTTATATATTGGTCATATAAAAAAATTTTTTTTAAAAGTTTAAAATTTAATTTTGTAAAAAAAAAGTATTATAGATTTTTTTTAAGACCAATAAAAAAAGCCGCAATTTTTTAATATATATATATATATATATATATATATATATATATATAACAAATATAAATATATGAAAAATTGATGTGGGTACTTCAATGAAAGGTTTTGATGAGTGTAACATCGAGATGAGCTTATATCTTTAAAAATGTCAATAGTTCACGAGATATAAAGTCATTTGTTAATTATGTATCTAGAGGTAGATGAGAATGAAATGAAACCTTGAAATAGCACAAATTCAAGACCTTTGCCATGACACTAAATTTAACTAAAAAAATCAATTTTATCATATGACTATCCTGGACACAAAATTTTTCTTATTCTCTTAATAATATAGATTACTCAGAATTAGGAATTTGTTTTGAATCGTCACAGCTAAGCGTAATTTTTTGTCTAATTAATTTCCATTAAATAATCTAAAATGTAAACTAAATAAGTAAAAGAACTATTGATAAAAGAAAAGTATTATAAGAACTGGCCTTAAAACAATAGATCCATATATATATAAATATATATTTATTTGTGGATTTAATTCGTATAACGTAAAATTAAAACTATTAAATTAAAATAAAAATTTAATTAATTAATTAACTATATTATTAAATAAAATACGGCATACTTTGCCAGACTGCTCTTTAAAAAATAGGTCTATATTACAAATACAAACGTCAAAATAATAAATTTTTTTATTAATTAACTAGGATACTCAGTATGTATAGTTAATAAAGTAATTAATAATTAATGATTAATTAAAAAGCTTATAATAAACCTGAAGAGGAAACGTGTCCTAGATTATAAATCTAAATTTATCGAGTATATATGTACATTCCTATATATATATTTTGTTTGTTCCTTTAATTTATAATAAATATTTGTTATTAAATAATTTTTAAGCATTAAAAAAAAATACCTCACTAAATAACGGTGCGATAATTCGCAAATTAATTGATAAAGTATTTGTGAAAAAGTTGATTAATTATTTTGTTAATAAAGTAAAATTAATTAATTAAAAATAAAACTAATGCCAACAATAAGAATAATTATAATAATAATAATAAATAAAGTATATAATGACGAAACATAATGAGGAAATAAATAATGAAAATTAGAATTAATGAAAATTAAAAAAAAGAAAATTAATATTTTATAAAATAACAAAATGCCAATTGAATTAATTTAATTAATTGTTAATTATTATGTAGGAACTTTGTGACAAAATAAGTGATATTTTATGAAACGAATAAGAACGTTACTATTTTTTTTTTTTTTTTTTTTTCATTATTGATTATTAATTATTAATTATTAATGGATACAGTTTAAGGATTATTTTAAATAACCAGCAAAAACTAATGCTCATTGTGTACCTAAGCACGTTTCCGATGCATTGAAATCGATAATTAACTCCATCAATCTTTTATTTTTTAATTTTTTACGCTAGCTGTGACCTATTTAAGCGACGTAAGATAAATTTAGTAATTTTAATATTTTCAGAAAAATAATTAGTTAAAATTTATCTAAATCAATCCTTGTTAATTATTTTTTAAAATAATTTGTTCGTTCTCGCCAATGTCTCATTAAATGTATTTATGAGATTTTATTGTCAGACTTCATTATTTTTATTTATAATAGTAATAGTTTATATTGTTTAAAAAATTTTTAAATATTTAATTTGCCGATTGAGTATTTTTGAATTCATTCAAGATGAATAAATCTATAAAATAATCTTCTTAGTGAAATTAAGAGATATCTGATAATTTTTATAAATTTTTGAATCCATAAATTGTAACAAAAAAAAATTATTTAAAAAAATTTGATTTTATTAAATAATGACTTTTGTTAAATTGCACTGTACTTTTTTAACTATTGACGTTTTTAAAGATATAAGCTCATCCCGATGTTACACTCATCAAGAGCTTTCATTTAAGTACCCACATGCATTTTTGATATATTTTTCATATATACATATATACATATATATAATATATATAAATATATGAAAAATTGATGTGGGTACTCAAATGAAAGGTCTCGATGAGTGTAACATCGGGATAAGCTTATATCTTTAAAAATGTCAATAGTTCACAAGATATTTGATAAATTGCACTGTATTTTCTTAAAAATTGACGTTTTTAAAGATATATGCTCATCTCGTTGTTACACTCATCAGGAGCTTTCATTTGAGTACCCACAGTCATTTTTGATATATTTTACATATATACATATATATAATATATATAAATATATGAAAAATTGATATGGGTACTCAAATGAAAGGTCTCGATGAGTGTAACATCGGAATGAGCATATATCTTTAAAAATGTCAATTGTTCACAAGATACAAGGTCATTTCTCAATTATGTATCTAGAGATAGAGCCTAAATACTTATCATTATAAATTGACTATCGGTAAAAATGATAAGAAATCTTGAAAAGTTACAACTCCGGGTCAAGACCTTTCTAATGATACCAAATTTAACCATAAAAACTCTTTTTATCATATAAATACGTTGGCCACAAAATTAATATAGATTATTTTTTAACAATAAAATTAATGATGTCTGATAATAATAAGTCTCTTGTATTCAATAATAAAATTTTCTTAATTAAGTAAAACTTGGGACCTCTTAAATTACTAAATAAACTAAACTAAAATAATAAAAAATTTTAATTAAATTAAATTTAAATTACATTAATGAAGATACATAGTTAATTATAGATTATTATTATGAACTACCTGGAAAAAGTAAATAAAAGTTAAAAATTATAAATGAATTATTTAATATAAGGCTAATCGTCGGCTAATCCACTGTTAGAATAACATTAAAATAACAAACAATAAGTATTAAAGCATAACATTGAAAATAATTATTAGAAAAATGAAGCCTTAATTGTATCGTTATAACGATAAGACTTAGTGATTATGTTTTAGAATTAGAACCGACAAATAAAAATAATTAAAAAATGAAAATTTTTAAATAAAAAAAAAATAAGATTATTGTTACAGAAAAAAAAATAACAAATTAATACAATTAGCTTATTACAATTAAATGTAATTAAACCGAATACTGTCAGCTGCGTTACTATCGATATAATTATATTATAAATTAATAAAAAATTACAATTAATGAAATGAAACAATGAAATTATTATTAATTAAACAAAAATAAGATTAGGTTTGCACAGCATTTAATAATTAATAAAACCAATGGGTAAATATGACTATAATATTATTATAACAATAATTATAATTTTAAACAATTGATATTCATTAATAAACAAGTATATTAATAATAATAATAATAATAATAGTAATAATAACAATAATGTATTTAATAATTGTGTCGCTAATGACAAATTGACTTGCATTATTTTTTACATATATATCTATATAATAATAATAATAGTAATAATATTATTAATGATAATAATAATAACAATGAGTAAAAATATATATATTTAATTATTAAAAAAAAAAAAAAAACAAACTATGATACATATTCAAACATAATAAATAATATTAATGATTATATATTACAATTAATTAATAATATTAAAGAGTTGATTAAAGTTTTCTTACGCCCTTTAATATTTTGAAAACAATATTATAAAAATAATTTATTGATAGATTAATTAATCAACTACTCAGAAAATATTTAATTATAAATGGACTGGGTCATTAATGTAAGATTTGATCACAGTAGAAATATTATTAAATTATAATTCTAATTCTGCTTTTTCTCTTATTGATAATAATTATTATTATTAATGGTTAAAAAAAAATTATTAGTCTGGAAATATTACCTTATTTTAAGTTTTTTTAAGGAAAATTAATGAGTGAAAATAATATTTACGATAATGATTAATTATTAACAAGACAAACAAATAAAGTAAGAATCGATGTGTCAAATGCTGCAATTATCATTATATTAATTAATTAATAATTACTGGTAAATTTAATTATTCATAATTAGAATTAGAGGGTGTATTTTTTTAATTAATTAAAAAAAAACATTTTTTCAATTTATGATATTTTTTTTTACCTTTGATTTTTAAAGGCTAAGTAAATTAAATTTTCGAAGCTTATGCATTGAGAAAAAAATTTATTTTTCAGAAAAAAGAGCATTATTACAAGAATTTAAATTATTGTAAATTTTTAACATTTTTTTATTTTAATAATTTAAAAATATTGTAATAATAGAATCGATTAAATATATTAAAATAAAATCAATTTTCTTCTTAATCTTTTATTAAAATATTTGTTGATATATTTAATCGATATATAAAATTTATTATAAGAAAAAATAATTAAAAATTGAAGTCTTAAATTAAAAACTTATTAATTTTTTTTAAAATTATTTTTTGTCTATAAAAAAAAATTTTCTTTTAAAAAAAAAAAATAATTTAAATTCTTGTAACAAAAGCGCTTTTTTTGCAAAAAAAATAATTAAATTTTTTATCAATTTTGTTTGATTTTAAAAACTTTAAGTATTATTTATATTAAATTAAAAATTTAAGTTGACAATAATTTATCATTACTAGTCGATTCATATTTTTGCAATACATTTAAAAGTTGAGCATA